GAGCCCCGGGCGGGCCTGCGGGGCTGGCTGCTGTCGGGCGGGGTTCTGGCGGGCAGGGGGCGAGGCCCGTCGTCGCCCCAGCGCCCCTGGAAGTGGGAGCCGTATGGGACCGAAAGGGGCTGCGGCGACGCGGTGCCACGAGGCCCGTAAGGGACGACACATGGAGCTAGGAGTCAGCCGGCATCGGTGGCCGCTGAGAGAGTCGAAGGGTTGGGGAGAAGGAGTGCTCGAGTCGTCCCTTTAGGCCTAGCCAGAGAGCCTCTCCTGTTGAAATTTCTATTAAAAGTGTAATTACGTTTCAAATATCTGTGGCTCCGAACCATCCTGAAGGAATCCCAGGATGCATTGCAGCCTTGTGATCGGCCAGAAACTGTTGGCTATCAATACGAAGATATTTTTTTACCCTTAGGAGCAGTATGCTCATAAAGTTAAAAAAAAGTTAAGATTACTAACAAATATTAACGTGTGGTAGGAAACTACGTTGATTTGGATGCCATTTTTCTTGATAGAATTTTCCCCTTTGTTAATTACACGGTTAGAATGTACCTCGGTGGCCCTGTTAAGGTGTTTGGTAGAAAATTCACTTTGTTTTCAAATGTTACTTATCTAAGTGTGTATTTTGAAACCCTTGAGCATTTCTTCAAACTGTATAGTTGTCACATGCCTTTCTAACCATGGCAAGGAGACATTCTGTGATTTCAAGTGAAGTTCAGTCTCTCAGAATCGTTTAATGTGAGGCTGCATAAGTGGTAGGTCGTATGCTTTCAGGTGCTGATTTTGTAGGAATGTCAAAGGAGTGAACTTAGGTATTCTCCCCGTAAATGGTCCTTATCTAGGGAATGATCGGTATTGTCTTAAAAAGAAAAAGGAAGGAAAGACTTAATATCCTTTATTATGTAGTGAGAGTGCCCTTGGAGTTCAGTTTCTTCAGAAACTTGTTAGGGTTTGTTTCTAGAAGATTGGATGGAGTTTGGAGAAATACTTTTATGAGGAATGTATGTGAACACAATTTGGATTGGGTTGTTTTATTGACTTTGGTATTTCTTTTATTTGTGTGGGTGATTTTCTTTTTGAACAAAAAAGTTCAGCTTTTATTTCTTTGGTCACATCAAACCATTTAGGCAACCTAAACTAGTTTACTTACCAGTTCCTAAAAGTTTTTGTTTTTTGTACCTTGTCTTGTAGATTCCATTCATCCAAGCCTCCCCACCACTCCCATTCTGGAGCCACCATCAGAGTGACTAGACTTGGGACTCTGTTTACAGTTTATCTAGACATTGGCCTAGTCATCTAGCGATATCTGTTTATAGAGCGATGGCCTGGCATGGTCATTGTTGACTAGTTGTTACCTCTGATACAGTAATTTTTTCTGTTACTGATACTTGTTAATTTGTAGTTTTAATGCTTTTGTCCGAGAGGCTACAAGTTGGAGATATATAAAACTGTGTATGGACTGGGTGTGGCGGTGTGTGCTTATAATCCCAGCACTCTGGGAGGCTGAGGCAGGAGGATCACAAGTTTGAGAGCCCAGCCTGGATGACTCAGTGAGACAGTCTTAAAGTAAGAAGAGTTACGAATACAGTTCAATGTGAAGACTTTGAGTTCAATGTCTCAATAATGAAAAGAAAAAAAAATCCTGCTTAGGTTGTCTTATTTGGAAAGGAATAGATTTTATACATTGAAGTGCACAGTTAGGTGGACTGTTGGATTGTGTGTTCCATACCATTTGGGTCCATTGAGTGTCATCAGCAGTGAACTCTACAGTACTTAGAAAAAGCACAGAAAAAATTGGAAATAGCAGCTAGATTGAAACTTACAAAGGAGGAACCAAAAAGTGTGCAACTTTTCTGTAGTAAGGAAATGGACACTGGGGTTATAGCTTCTTTTGTTAGGCCATAGTTGAAATGTGTGTTTAAACTACACACCAGAAAAACTGTTGAAGGAGCATAGAGATCAGAGGTCTAAATAGCATACATTTAGTTAGTTAGTTAGTACCGGGAATCGAACTCTGGACCTCATGCTTGCCAGACAGGCACTGCGCCACTGAGCTAAATCTCCAGCCTCTTAGAATAACTTAAAAATGCGTCTTTCTAGAATGAATTTGTCATTTCTTCTGAAACCAGTTTAATTTGTCTTCTCTGTTTCTGAAATACGGTGCTACCCAGAGCCATCAATAGAGCAAGAAGCTTTTGTATGGTGTCACTCACCTTTACGGGAGGCTGCTGGTTATGCTTGTGTCTGGCCATCCCAAGTCTGAAGTGGGGGTTCTCTTTGAAAACTTAAGAATACAGGTTTTCAAAGAAACATTTAAGTGGAACCCATTTCAATGTATTAAGCATAAGTCATTTAAGTGCAATTCTGTACAGAACCAAATAAATTAGCCAAATGATTGTTACTAAAATAGAAGAAAAATGTTGGAGACAAAGCTTAATGTATACTATAGTAAACATTTTCTGATAGAATACATTTAAGTTTAAATTTGTACTTAGTCCAGTCTTTTTAATTACATTAATAAGAAATGGCTTTAGCAAAAAAAAAAGAAAAAAAGAAATGGCTTTAACAATGTTATGTAATTGGTGTTATTTGTACTTTTGGATATTTATTACCGAAGTCAATTGTAGATGGGTTAGTGTTCCTTGTACTCTTAACACCCCTCTGTGCCTCTCAAAACCCTGCCATTAAAAGGTGTATAGAATAAGATCAGCAGTCTTCACTACTTCTTAGAAGAATTCTAAGATGTAGTAAGTTGTATTGTGGAATTTGAGTCTTAGAAGTGTTTTGTTTTGTAGTGTTTGGTTTTAGCAGATGTTTATTTTTGGCGGGGAGAGGAGACTTTTTCAATGAGAGTATAATGCACATACTGTATGTTCCAAGGTTATGCAACCATTATCACTTTGGATGCTTTTGAATCACTGGATATTCTCACAAGTAATCTCTTTATAATCTCCAGAGTAGAAAGGATCCAAAATATCAAAGTAGTGGTTGCTTTGTCCAGAAGGGCTCTTCTAGTACTTCATTATAGTAAAGAACCTGTTGAGTTCTACATGATAGATAAGGTTCTTGATGTGTTTTTCTTTAAGATTGAAATATCTGCACTAAATAGTTCTAATATACACATAATCCTAAGTGTCACTGGGATACTAAATGGAATTAGAGCAGTAAGCAGATCAGTGACCAGTAGTAGTATTCCTGGATTGTTACAGTGACAAGTATTTTGGTGCCCTTAGTTATTTCTTTCCCTGCCTTGACTTACTGCTTATTAGATTTTAGCTCTTAGTTTTATAGGTATGAATGGCTGGAGTATAAGGATTTAGGAAACAAGTGAAGACACTAACTACAGTTGTGGGTTCAACAGCTATTTAAACTGTTAGAAATTTTGTTTGGCCAGAAAGTCTTTGGACAAGATTGTACTTAGTGTTGTTAGTATATATATATTATTGCTTTATTTCGTTCTTTGTGCTCCTTTTCTGAAATTGTACTTTACAGAAAAAGCAACTACAATTCATCAGGTCAAGTTAAGGAAATATACAGGATGAATTTTAAGCCTTAATTTGCTTGTTTTTGCTTGCTGGGAGGAATATTTTTAAAGTGTTCAAATAGAATTGAATTGTCTGAGGAGAAAGGAATGTTAAAGAACAGATAACCTTTTGAGGTGAGTTAGCAGTATTTAGAATGGAATTTCTGAGGTGAAATTTTTTGCTCAGATACACATATATACACTTAGAAATTAACTAGCATTTATCTACTGAATGTAGGATCTATGGGAGGCACTTGGAATGATGTCAAGATGACTTAAGTTATAGTCCTCCAGGAGTGTAGAAAAGGATCAAATAACTAGGTTACGCTAGTGAAAAACAGTGTTTTAAGAGGACCATAGAGAGGGTGTAGATGACTTTCAAAGTTGAGGAGATAAATTGCTCAGGATTCAAGATTCTCATGTAAATCATTTCAATCTTGTCATCTTGATCATAAAACTAAAGATATATCTTCTATGCTAAGTGTTTTTCTGGAATACACTTTTGTGTGCTAGTTCTCCCTCCTGTTTCTATGGTTCTGGTTTTTGCTTTTGTGTGCAGTACTGGGAATCAAACCCAGAGGCACTTAAGCACTGAGCTACACCCCCAGGCCTTTTTATTTTTTATTTTGAGAGAGCATTTTTCTGAGTTACCTAGGCTGGCCTCAAACTTACGATCCTCCTGCCTCAGTCTCCCATGTAGCTGGGATTATAGGCATCCATCACCACATCTATTTTATGTTTGCTGGGAATTTGCTGAAGTACAGCATGAGTTACCTTTTTACACTACTTACTTATTTATTGTTGCTTTTGTACCACAGTTACTGTGATTCTGTCTAGTGTATCTATTAAGCATGTTTGTTTAGAATTGCATCATTCTATCCTCAATTTGTAAAAATCCTTGAGAACCAAATATTTGGTCATTGTTGAAGGTTTATGTTGTTCTTAGGTCCTCAGACTATTTAGTTGTCAATTGTTGATTAATACTAAAGCTTCCTAAAAGTTTTGTGTTTTTCAGTAGATTTTAACAAAGCATAGCTAGGTTAGTCTTTGTAAATGACTTCGTTCTAAGGGGACATAGTGGTTACTACGTGCCAGATGGAATCATTTTCCCACATAATTCAACTTTTCTTGTGTAGAAAAGAAACAGAGAGGATATCCTCAGTGTCTTTTATTACTCTAACCCTACGAATGGTGATGCTCAATTCCAGAAACATTCCAGATAGGTAATTTTATAAAAAAATTAAACAAAAATATGCATATTGCTAAGCAATATGTATTCACTTCCTTTGAGTGGTTGATTTTTTTTTTAATAGCAGAAAATACTTTCTCTGCTATATTTT